GTATTCAAGTTGATGCACGAGTCTAGGTTTGAATAGGACAGTAGGAATTCCGTAGAATTAATGTTATATTACGTTCTTGTGAATACAAAAGGGTTGTCAGACAGGAGCCTTAACCTTTTAACTGTTATACCCGAGGTTAACTCAAGCACGCCACTAGTGCTCCAAAATGTCAAACACGAGTCAGTGGCGTAACGGAGAACATTAAGGCCTCCCTGAAAACTCAGGTTTTGGGCCCCAAGTTCAAATACGCATTTAGTGTCAGTCAAGCCTTAGGCCCACTAGAGTCCCTGGGTCCCCACAATGGGGGGTTGAGGGGGTATGTTACGCCACTGACACGAGTATTACACGGTAATTTAATTTGGGTGGTGTACATCAGTGGTCCTTAACACCCGGGTGAGTGATTGAGTGAATGAGGGAATATTGACGTCACACTGTTCAGCTACACAAGGACATTTGGTGACGGACCTCGAAATTTTGAACCATGGTCAAGTGACGAGGATGACACCTGAGCTGGGACCCCTCTCTCCTAACTACCACACCACACCAACGGGAGGACGTTTGAGCTCTCGGCACAAGGGGTCTTTAGTGGTACTAGGCTCGAACTCATGGCAGGCATGTCATGATCCGATACCTTGACCACTGGGCTACCGAAGCTCTCCCAGCCCCCGGAGTCATGAACCAGTGACATACCACACAAAGACCATTAAATTATTTCCATTTTTATTTATTGTGGTGTATTTTTTTCGCGGGTTTGTAGGATTTTATCAGGAAATGAATTTATATTCATTTTTTGATGTAGTTGTATTATATTCTGTGAGGCAGGTTTAAATACAATTAAATTAAAGTAACAAAATCAAAAATATCTAAAATATAAACAATGAATGTCCCCACCTCTTTTAGCGGGACGCGGTAAAATTATCGAACTTTAACCACTCCGTGGTAATAAAAAAGAGTGTGTGCTCAAGACCATACGATAAAAGTGATAACTTCAAATTATGTAATGTTATTTCAGGATTAGTTAGGTGAGAATAAAAAACAAGAAGATATTAATATTGTCATATAAAATTATTTATTCATATGTCTGTACTCATAAAGCAATATTTCTTGAAAAATATACAATCATATTTGTGAATTAATTGTAGAAGAAAACAATAGGTTTATGATAGCTGAAATAGGTTATAAATACTTTAGATTCAAAATTATTTAAATATCTAAAAAAAATTCCGTCAAACGTTGTTCTGTACTTTGTCGTATTTCATTTGGATCATCTGACATAATTAAATTGAATTTTGATTTAAAAAAAATATGCTAAAGGCTCTGATATTGTCTTTTGAAAAATCTACATTAGAATCCCCAATTAAAATAATAGGCAATTTGTTTAGAAGAGTTGATCCGGTTTCAGTGTATGCAACTAAGTTTTTCTGAATGAATTTGATAATTTTCTCTACACTTTGATTTGATGAAATATAATTAGTAACCATTAGAATTATTTGTCCATTTTCTACCATTGTTACCAGCGTTAAAAACCCGAGCGTAACAATGCTTGGCTTTTTAAAACACATCATTTAAGTTCACTCTCCGGCAAAACGCGCCTAAAGAAGTTATCATTTCAAAAAGGTTGGGGTGCAATGGTGTAGATCTCTGTGGTGAGGAAAATATTTTTCATTCAACAATCCGAAAAAAGGTAGAAAATATTTTATAAAAAGATAGTTTTTTTTTTTTACATTTCCTAGATAAGGTATTTTTTTAACTTATATTTGCTTTGTTAAAATGTAGTTGGGAAATGTATTACATTTTTGGAATTTCGAATCCAAGCTGTAGAAGAGCTTTTACATGAATATGAAGATACAGCTTCTGGACAACAGAATCCTGGCTGATCAACTGAAGTTGATAACCCTGCCCGTCTTATTGAGCGATATACAGTGGACCCAAAAGTATAAATCGGTCTCAGAATCATGTAATTTGACATTTTTTGATAGTATTGTAAATAATGAGCTCTATTTAAATATTTTAAAGAGAAATTTTGAATTATCCGCTCAAAATTTGGATATAGGAGACGACTTCATTTTTTAACAGGATAATGACACCAAGCACCCTGCTCTCAATGTACGCCGCTGGTGTCTCTATAACTGTCCCCAAATTTTGAAACACCTACTCAATCACTATTTAGCCCAGTAGAACTTATTTGGTGAGAATTTGATTTAAAAAAAATGAGAGAACATGACATATAAACACATAATGTGAAGTAAAAACAATCATAGAAGAATGGTCGAAAATTGATTCAGAAATTACAAAAAACTGATTAAATCTATACCAAGATGTTTAAAAGTTGCTTTGGACTCTAAAAGAGATATCCTACTAAGTACTAATAATACAATACTAACTACTAGTACTACTACTAACTACTAAGTACTATATATATATATATATATAGAAATACAATATTTAAAGCTATGTTGAGATTTTTGTTTAGTGTACGAAGACTTATGTGGCGTAATTTTTAAGTAGCTTTTTGATTATTAATTTTTTTAAAAAAAATAGTATAACTATTTTTAAAAAATTGATTATGTCATTCCATTAAAAACAAGTTGCAGATATAAAAAATTCCAATTCCAATACATTAGTTTTTATTAGACGAAAACATTAAATTTTATTGGAAACTGCAAGTGTACGAACACTTTTGTGTTCCATTGTATGTCTCATATTCCTCCTACTGCGGAACGTCAGCCTACAAGACCTTACAAATTTTGCAGGTCAAAAAAGGATGCAAATGAAGCAAAAAGGTAAGCAAGGAAACACGATTCTGGTGTAATAATTGAGGAGTTTCTCTGTGCTTGGAAAATGATTTTCAGTTATAACTTATAAAACTGAATTATGGAAGTACTAATTGGCATTCATTTTTATTTATAATTTTAGAAAACAATGCTCCATTAGAAGTGAACTATGCCACTTCCACGCTATGAGGCAACCACCTCCAGCGACTATGCAGTTGCTATGAAATCTAAAAATTTGTTTGCATGTAATTCAAACTATCAATTTTTAACCACTAAGTATATTTTATTTTTGCAATAAAAAAATTGACAATTTATGTACCTAAACATCAAAATAACTTGTCAGTTAAATGGTTAATGAAACAAATTTATAGTATACTAGCTGGTGTACCTGTTCTCTGCACGGGTGAATTGAAAAATTAAAGAATACAGATTGAAGGGTAAAGAAGTTTTTAATGAGTTAAGTTTGCGAGAATTACAAATTAAACAACAACAAAAAAAACTTTTTGAATGAACAACAACCCATACTTGTTAAATTTAAGTCTATAGAACTAATAGCTGATAAAAAGGATTTTTTTAAAAATTTATAACGCCCTTTAACTCTCTTGTGGGTCGAAACGCCTTTCTATTGATCAGGAAAAATAACGCATTGTTACATATTTTGTGTAATGAACGCCTTTAAGTAGAGTAAATAATTTATATCTGGAAGTTAATGTTATTTTCTGTTGTTTTTATTTCATATTAAAGTTGTAATATTCGCAAGCAACGTCTTCCCTTACATTATAATGGCGATTCAATGGAAACAAAGTGAAATGTTGGCGATAGAGCCAAGTTGGCATTATTTTTGGCGATTGATTAAACGGTTCAGAAGTTCATATGCTGTAGCGCCATCTGGTGGAGAGCTGAACAAAAAAGGATAGCCCAAAAAACTTCTCCATAAAAAAGTACATATACATGTCAATTTTCATAGTCATCGATTGAACGGTGTTGGAGTGATGCGATTTCACATATGCAAATTATACATACATTATATATATATATATATATATATATATATATATATATATATATTAGTTTCAGAGTAAACACACTGTGCATGTATGAAAAAAAGTTTAATGCTTAGTTGAAAAGAATAACTATTTCATGAATATGGATTTCTTATCGTATTATCTAAGCACCTGAACAAAATCAACAAAAGCGACCCTTTCACTCATCACGAGATCTCAGGGACTACCAAGACCCACAGACTTACAAATTGTCAAGGAAGTTTCTTTTGCTGAGTAGAAATCTACCTCAAACGTGTCTTGCAGAAATCGAGTGGGTTGCAGAGAGTTATAGATAAAAATTCTCGTTTCCGAACTTTTTGGCTTACAAACTTGAAATCGTGCAAATATGTTACTTTTGCTTCAGCCAAGAGTAAATGGGTTTTGAAAATCGACTAACAAGGGGGAGGAAACGGGGGTGTACGGATAAAAAAAATTCATATTTTTGAACTATTAGACCCACAGACGGAATCCAACAAACATGTTTCTTTTGTGGAGTAAAGATCATCTAAGATAAACTTATGGAAACCATTTCGCAAGGTAAATTTCGGGTGTTCCCGAGGGTGCAACAGTAAAAAAAAATTCCACTTTTTGAATGATTAGACATAGAGAGATGAAATTTGTTGAGTAGAAAAACGATTCGCTAAGAACGGATTTGATTCTATGAAAACGGACACCCCGATTTTGAACAAAATTGAATCTCAATGAACTAGTAAGGAGGTGAGTGATGGGGGATATAGATTAAAATTTCCCCTATTTGAGCTATTAGTCCCACTTACTGAAAATTTGGCCAACATGTTTATTGTGATGAGTAACGATCCGTTAAAAGTGGGTTTTGTGGAAATTGATTATAAGTGGGGGGTTGGTGGGTTACGGGGTGATCAAGAGACAATGGCCATAAGATTGTTTTTCAATACAATTGAAAGCTTAATGCTAGCTGATATATCTTAAAAACAGTATAGTATGAAATAATAAGCGTTGCTGTTGTTGTCATGTGTTTATTACTGGGATACACTCGAAAGACGTGAGATAGATGAACAGAAACATATAACTCTATCACAGAAGAATATAGATTTTATTACAAACGACGATCCCGGCAAAGAACAAAAGAGGTACGCTGCTTTCCTTTCGAGACGGGAATCCATTTCAGCCGAAAGTCCAATTCCTTTTCCCGAATATACATCCATGCCTTACTCGGGATTCGAATCCGAAGCCACTCGATTACAAGTCGAGTGTCATAACCGCCATACTGGTTGGGGCGGCAATAACAAGCGTAGCAAGTGGACACAAAGCCTAGAATGTTGATGAGTTTGGTATCAATAATTATCCTTTCTTGCATAAATTATAATTCTTGTTCCAGAATTATTAATATGAGATCCTGTAAACGCAATATCTTTTTAATTTGGAAGTTTTGTGTATAGATCCCAGGGCCAATAAACTTTCAACAATGTATGCGGATTAATCCCCAACAAAGACTACAGTTCCCTTAAACAAAGGCTTATATTTATATTAATAAATTTATATAAAGAAAATTTATAGCGCATCTGCTTAAAATAAAATACAGCAACTATTTAAACACTTTGAAATTCTGTACCCATCTCGGCAATACAGAATTCACCCTGCATAATATTCAGTTCATTTTTGTTGTATCTGAGTGGGAGGGCGTGGGGGCGGTAATCCTTTGACCTGCAACAAAAAGCAACCTCTACCCTGGTCAGCAGCCGGAGCCAAGTGGCCAAATGCCAAGAGAAAAGAGAGCGGATAAAAGAAAATGAATACAGAAATACCCAGTATTAACATACTTTTAGATAAAGTGGGTTTTCATGTATGCTCCAAGTCATTTCGTTTTGTTGGTCGTTTGTTACATTGCAGTTAAAGTTGAAGCAACCAACAATAAACGAGATTCTATTACTTTGAACATGAATGCGAATACTTTATTTGGCAATGTGCGAACGCCAAATGGTTTTTGCGAGAATACTGCAACTCGATGGGCATTGATGCATAATTAGAAAGAGTATTTTTAAACGTTATGAAACTCGAACAAATGAAAATTTAAAATTCATGCGAACTTCTTAAAAGTATTAATACTTTCTTTCTTTGGATAGAAAATTTAATAGCTAACAGTTTTTTTTTCACTTTAGGATAAGTGAGTGAATATTAACGTCGCACTGTTCTGCTACACGAAGGCTTTTGTTGACGGACCACGTCATTTTGATCCATGGTCAAGTGACGTAGACGACACATGAGCTGGCACCCTCCTTTCCTAACTACCACACCACACCAATGGGAGGACGTTTGAGCTCTCTACTGATTTAACGTTCCCCTACACGGCGGGTCTGTAGCGGTACTGGGTTCGAACTCGTGACATGCCAGCCACGATACCCGATACCTAGACCACTAGGCTACCGTGGCCACATTTCACTTTAGGGAAAATTCTCTAGTAATGCTTAGTGAGTGAATGTATATTAACGACACACTATGAAGCTACACGAGTGCTATTCACAACGCTCTTTGTGATTACCCACAGTCGAATGACGAGGACGACACCCGAGCTGGGACCCCATCTATGAGTTATCAAACCAAGCTAACGGGAGGGCTATGATCCTCGACAGATTTAACGTGTATGAGCCCCTCTGTACGGTCGATCTTCCACGGCGTGAGGGAGTGAATATTAAATTCGCCCTAGTCAGTTACACGAGGGCTTTGGGTGACGGACCTCGTAATTTTGAACCACATTCAAGTGACGACATCTCAGCTGTAACAACCTCTCTTAACTACCCCACCACACCAACAGAAGGACGTTATAACCCCAACAGGTCAAGGTATCGGATCATGGCTTGTTTGTCACGAGTTAGAGCCAAGTACCACTAAAGACTCGCCGTGTAGGGGAGCGATGCATGTTAAATGTGTCGAGAGCTCAAACATCCTCCCGTTGGTGTGGTGTGGTGTGGTAGTTAAGAGAAGAGGGTGCCAACTCGGGTATCGTCTCTTGACCATGGTTCAAAATGACGAGGTCCGTCGCCAAAACGAAGAAGTGGGTTAGAAACGAACATCAACAGTTTGGGCTTTCAATAGAAGAGAGAGAGAGAGAGAGAGAGTAGTTGCTATTCATTCCGAATTATGGAGTATCATGAGAAAGTCCTTAATTGCTTTTCCTAGAGAAAAAAGTTTCGGTGGTTGCTAATCTCAAAAAACCTGTACACTAACCGATGATATTTAGGGTTAAGCCTAACATCATTTATACTAAATATTGAAATTTAATTGTCAGAGCATCAGATTCATCCCTCCCATTAAAAGCATTTGTTTATTGCGCAGTTATTTTACGTAGCAAATATTTTATATCTTAATGCAATTTTAATTTAATAAATGTTTAAAATGAACATTTCTCTACTAAAAGTTTTCACACACATACTGCAGTTCCCTACAGTTAGAAATTTAAATTTTTAAAAGTAGTAACTCTATACAAGCTGTCAAAAGCACAATAAGTTGGTGAATTTACAAAAAATCAATACAAGGTAAGCAGCGGTCTACGTAAAACTAAAGAAACATGGTAAGGGGTTTATGAGAGAAAAAGTTTCGGAACCTCTGCTATAGACCACATCAATATTAATTTTTAGCAAAGACATAACGTGGGGGCGCTTTCGTCAATGCGTTTCATAGAGTATATATCCTCCCCATAAAAGATGTCGCCATATGCCACAGAAGGACTCGAATCCCGATTCGGCAGATACATTGCCGGTGATGAGTTTGTGACCATGACCACTCGGTTACAGTGATCCCACTGTGAGATTTTGCCAGAGTTTGATACTTGCTGCGTGGCCGTGATAACCTAGTGGTCAAGGTAACGGACTCATGACCGATGTGTCATACGTTCGAGCATAGTACCGCTGAAGATCCGCTGTGTACTGGAGCGATGCACATGAAATATGTCCAGAGGTCAAACGTTTCCCCGTTGGTATAGTGTGGTAGTTAGGAGAGGAAGGTGTCAGCTTAAGTGTATTCCTCGTCACTTGACCATGGTTCAAAATGACGAGGTCCATCACCAAAAGCCCTCGAGTAGCTGAACAGTGCGCCGTTAATGTATTCACTCACTCGATACTTGCTACATTTGGATATTTTTTCATATTACCTTCGAAAATAACAATCATTTTCTTCTTTTCAAAGCTCTTTTTAATAATAATAATAAATAATAATTAAAAGGTAAGATGAAAACTTTATGTTCTTTGTGACATGATGGTAGTCTATTGTATAAGTTATGCGAATATTTAATGACATAGTAACATTTTTACTTGATTAATGGGATTTAAATTTTATTTCTTTTATAAATAAGGCTATTTTTCGTTCATTTGCAGCTACTGCTTATCACTAAGTTATATCACAAACAGAATTTTGATTCTGATGGTATATCATCTTTTGATAAATTCATCTCAGACATTTCTAAGTTTATGATGATGTAAGAAGAAATTAAATCAAGAAGAAGAAGTAAAAACACAGAACTGTCATGATAATGGTTTTTTAACAATAGAAAAGCAAATACACATTAGACCATTAAATTTCACTTCATATTTTTAAAAAATTTATGCAATATATGTATATTTATAAATAATTTTAAAGAGAATATCATGTTATATTTTTGTCGGAGCTTTTGAAAATATTTTTGGACAGTATAACGATATTTTCACAAATTTAAAAATAATTCAGAAGTATTAGATTAAATTTTAATATAGATTAATAAGTGTCGAATGATTCCAATCTAAACTCTTCATTACAATACCTTTTGGCAATGATAAAGACAAATGGATAAATTAATGTAAAACTATTGTAATTACAAACTGTTTATATTTTATTACTTCATGCTACTTTTAGTTATTCTTGATATTTTTTTATGTCTACTTGCGAGATAGGATTTTATTTTTATTGTAACATATTTAATGTTATATTCTGTTCATTTGTGTGTGTGTGTGTGATTTCATTCCTTTCAGCAATGGATGTAAGTTAACTGCATCCACTGGATTTTCTTATTCAAAAATGGGAATTTTAATCGATAAAGCCCCCGCAAAACTTTCCTTGGGAGTCAATTTCTGCGTAATCTCTAATCAAGTGTACTTCTACTGAGTATATCTATCAAGTCTGTAGATCGAATAGTTTAAAAACGGGATTTTTTTTCATGTATATGGCAATCCCTACTCCTGGAACCACTCGAGTTTATTTCCTAAAACAGGATCCGTATTCAACAAAAGAAACATGCTTTCCAAACTTGGTCTGCAGGTGAAATTGTTCAAGAAATGTGAGAACTTTTTTTATCTATACCTCCCCGTAACCTCCTTAGAAGTCGATTTATGTAAAATCCGTTTTTAGCGGATCTATACTCAACAAAAGAAACATGTCTGTTAAATTTCATTCTGTAAGTTTGACAGATTCGGATATCTCTTGATGTATGAGTTACTTTCTCTTTTATTATATAGACAGAAGATGTTTTTGGTAGATTAGTTGAGCAACAATAAAAAAACAACAGAGAGAGAGAGAGTGCAATAGTTACAAGGTGTAAAAGATTAAACACAATCATATGATTAAGCTACTTAGTACTGCTGGCAAAAACACTTATGGTGTTCTGCTGTATAAAATATATTACAAAAAATTTACAGAAAACGCAGAACGTGTTGTATTTAATACTTTATCGCAGTGATATTCCCAAACTTCTTAAACCCATGGACCCTTTCTGTAGTCAAAATTTGCCCACGGACCTCTTTTAATAGTCAAAACTTACCCTCGAACTCGCCTCGGAAAACTTGCCCTTGTTAAAGTCAAAACTTTCCCAAGGATGTAAAAGCTACATAAATATATAGTATAAAAATTACAAATAAAAAAACCGATTTGCTGAAGATTTATTTATTGAAATTATAGCTTTTGTTTAAAATAAAATAAAAAAAAAAATTAATGACTTTGATGAGATGTTATGAGTGTGTTTATATGTCCGTCTCAATGTTTATGAGTGGCAACCACAAATCCCCACGAGCATTAATTTCTAGTCATTTTCTTTTCTCTCTCTTTTTTTGTGATGAGGTTTTCTTACGGCACTGAGTCTACGTTCTATCAAACTGAAAATTAGGGAAAGAGAGAGAGAGAGAGAGAGAGAGAGAGAGAGAGAGTATAGTCAACACAACTTCTGCACAATAACTCATAATGCAGGATATAAAATTGGGATATGTTTTTGTAACCTGAATTTTGTGATATTCTTGTTCAAACATTGATTTAAGTTT